ACATGCTGACAAAATTTCAATTACTGTTTTTCGTTTTGCATTTCAGTTACTGTTTTTTGCACAGGCGGCAAGTTTTCGAGTTAATAGAGTACCAAGTTGCAAACTTTGACATTGTCGTAAGCGTTGCACAGGCGTGCGCGACAGCTGAATTTGATATCTTTAGCTTGCACATGTACAGAGAATATCCTTGCAAAGTTTAAGTTTTGTGCTTTGCCTCGTTCGCCAAAGAAATTGGCATTTTTTTTTTGGGAGGGGGGAGGGGAGGTCCGTAGGCGGGGTCTAGGTGCGTATGAGCAAAAATCTTAAAACAGGAGGACGAGACACGGGGTAGGAACATATTACCCAAAATTTCAGCCTTCCATTTTTCCTGGTTACTGAGATGAAAATGGGTGATAAAGTTCACTCGCTTCCAAACACACAGATGACCTCTCGACTGTACCAATTTTTGCTGTAGCAGTGCTTATAGCGCCGCACAGCAAAAACACATGAAATGTTTAAACATTATTGATTTTCTTATAAATTAGCGTACGTGCAATAATTGCTTTGTGGAGGAGTTTAGGAGTTTTGTCTCATGTACCCAGCGTTTTGACTAAGCTTGTTCTCCAGACTTTGTGCGTAGTAAGCGTTAATTCTTTCGCTGGAGCACGGAATAATATATCTGATAAACTCAGATTTTGTTGAAATTGTAGCGAGAAATTGTTTTAGTTCAGCCCCATATGAACAGCAGATTCTTTTGCTCGGTTTCTGAGTGCAGTTGGCTTTTAAAATTATCCGAGAATTTTAGATTTGGGTCGAAGTATACCTCGATATATGGGAAACGTTTGCAACAAAATTAAAGATTGGTGCCGTTTTTCGTTCAGTTTTCTCAATCGTCTTACTCACAACGATCCAAACAACATTGAAGCAACCGACGAACGAATTCTGTAAGTTGAAAATTTGCTGCCACGAAAAATGGCATGTTAAATCATTCGAGTTGATGTGCTTCGATAATCTCCAGCTGAATAACTAACAGGCGGTGCAGCATTAGTCAAAGCAACTAGAAGAGTTGCCAGCTGATAAACCCGCTGAACCAAATACGCTTCGTTAAA